ACATTTAATGAATTTACCTTCCTTATCTACTCCAGAAATCTGCAGACAAACACTTCATTAATGGGTATGCATAACAGGGGCATATCAATTATTTTTCACAGATGTTAGAATGAATTTCACAACCATCTTTCTGCCTGTTAAAGAAAAAAGTGAATATTTTTAACACGATCACTTAAAACTCAAGAGATCCAAGAAATGCAATTCCTCATTCTTTAAATGGTGACAAACATTGATTATCAACCAACCTGGGAACATGAACTTGTTCACAATGCCAGAGAAGTTGTATTTCCTGGTTATTTAAAACTATCCACAAAGACTGACATTGATAATCCCCAATCAGAGCACAGACATTTATCGACATCGCCAAGGAATGGATATCGTAGCAGCCTCTCCTCTCTGCGCTGAAGTGTGTTTTACAATGAATCAATGGGTAAATTGTCCCTCATTATAAGCACTTATTTGTTTAGTTAATAATTGAATCTCCCAACAGAGCAGGGGAGAGAGAGCACTCAGTGCAATTTAAGGCAGGGCATACTGCTCTGTATAGCACAGTTACTTCTTATACGTGGTTGTTATCATGGTTTTGTCCATAAAGTGCTTATATACTAATAAAGAAGGAATATGTAAATAATCGTATACAGCACACGCAAGTAATCCTCTAGTTTTATCAGTGAGGGTCACTCCATTGGCCCAAAATAATTTTGAGAACAACTCAACAACAGTCATTTAATGGTGAAAAATACCAACTGTTTTTACTAAAGTGATACTTTCTGGCCTAACTAGCCTTTAGGGTTTTTGAATTATTTATTTTAAGAAGAAGTAATAACATAATGGTTAACAAATAAACTCCACTGTAGCAATGATTGCATATAAGACATGCACTTACAACTATATCCGTACAAAAGAACCTACTATCTTACTTGCATTTTTTATCAAAATATTTTGATAATAACACTAACAGTTTTCGCTTCAATTTTGCAAACACTACAATTTGACCTCAACAAACAGATTGATGCTATCTAATGCGACGTTTTTTTAACCCAGCACATTTGCCAACACGAGAACACGCATCTAAGAATATGTTTGTGGTGTGACTGCACCTGGTTGTTCAGACCAATAACAGGAAGACAAAAAGTGTGATTTCTAGATGATATGAAGAAGGCCTGAAAGGATTCACAGCTTTCTACAAAACAATTTAAGCAATTGACTTCCTTAACCTGGAAACCAAATGTTTGTACATTTTTGAGCTAATCGAACTTTTGTTATTCAGAAGGACACCTGTCATTTGCTATAAGAACATAGCATGCGCAGCTCACATCTCATTTTAACTTCCATAATATTCGTAATATAAGACGAAGTGGAATTATCCCTAGAAGCTTCAGTGGGCGCAACAGACATTCAAACCGCTTAAACTGAATGCAATTTAGCAAGAATCCCTTCGGAGTTAGATCGATCCTGCTAGTACGACAGGTTTATGGGAACCCAGTCAAGTTCTCCATAGAGCTTTACACACTGGCAAATTTGACTGCTGTTGAGGTTTGATTGTGGTCCTATCAGGTTAACTTTTCTAATGTGAACGAACTACGTACCCCTGACCATGGTCCAAATAAACCCTGACCAGGACTAGGACTCTATCGCAGTAAGCTCTAAATTGCAGTCAAGACCTAGTGTTTACATTTGGAACTTATGCACACAAATGGGTAAGAAATCAGAATTGGCATGAAATTCTGACAGTACTAACATGTAACAACTGCGATCTGCTCCTCCTCCTCGTCGCACATATTTGCCGAAATTTTAATGTATCTTTTCGCATGGAAATATTTCTTGACTCTAGTAAATTAAATATTTTGTACAGCATAACAACCGTTGCTACTTGAACCCCCTGCCACGTAAGAAATTTATATTTCTTTCCAACTGGTGTGCATGCTAACTGGAAGTATGATTGGCGAAAGACTCTCTCTGCCAGTATCAGTGTGAACGCATAGCAAGTGGGTTTATTTCACCACAATTCTATCAGGGTTAACTGGACCACTAGTTACTTGCTTGTGTGAATGGCCCTTATCTCTCAAACCATACAATTACAATTGTATTGTCAAAATGTAAATGCCTGATGTGAAATGACCTACACACGTGCACATAAACACATTCACACTAGTACAAACTTTATGATGAGCAAAATGTTACAGAACATTGTCTTTTAACCTCAAATCTGTTATCAAAACCTACCTTAAAAGCAAGACCAACCAACAAAGACTGCAAAGGTTTTTTTTAATATATCTCTCTTTCGTGCTAAATTTTCAAGACCTACCAGTGTAATAACTTGTAACAAGAATACACACACAATAGAACATAGTAAAACATGAACAATTACATCACAAAGTGCATATCTGAGTAAATGTACACACACGTAACGGTGGAATTAAAATAAATGGTCTTTTTACCTTAAATCTGAAAAACCCAGAACCTACCTTAAAACACAATATCAATCAATACAGACTACAAAGATATATCTTCTTGCTTAGTTTTCACGACCTACCAGCATAATAACTTGTAACAATCTGTCTAGATATCATGATTTAAACATTTCCTTTCGGTGCACCAAGTGCTCTACAATAACCCCTATCGCATTCTTTATGAAGAGGTTGGGAACAATGTTTTTTTAATTATTTTCATTACAAGGGGAAAAAACTAAGCACTTGCCTCATAACCATAAACCAAAAATTCTATTTCTATTATAACATGTATATATATAAACACAACCCATAACCTCTGGTGACTTTCAGAATTACTAATGACTAAGGATTGCCTTTGCATACTGAACTTAAAAAGTGAAGAATATTTTTTCCTGTTTTATCCTAAAATTGTAAATAACAATTACATCTTTTACAAATTAGTGGCAGTATATGATTCTTTTGAGGTGAAATCTCTTAAATTCTTTCTATAAAAGAGGTCTACTTAAATCAAGCAATACACACAGACTGTTATCGAAGGAATACACTGGTCAGCATCTGTTTAACTTTAACCATTATCACTCAAACAAAGAACATTCTAGTCAAATGCTAAAAATGTTTTTAAATGTTTTTATCTTCTAATAACATAATCCCCCCTCCTTTCTACACTTTTCTACACCCTGCAATTTCACTGCATGCATTATTAAATATAAAATATGAACACTCATTTATCTGGTTGCTGCCTAAACGGAAGGTGGAAAAAATCAGTGAGGTGGAAAAGTAACCCACAGTATAACAATAATACTCATGAAGGCTTCTGAAATTTTCTGAAGAAAGAGCTAATGCAAACCACAGCATACTGTAATAATTAACCTGGTTACATAACAACTTATCCAGATGAGGTTTTTTATCATTACCCAAAATTTAACAATACATATTTTGTATTTTGAATTGATATAACATAGGACTAATTTGGGATGAATCACTTCCATGTCCAAAACAATACACTTAAAAAACTGCAGGACATGTTGGTTCACTATGAGAGAGAAGCAGTTGTGTTTGTGGGTGGTCCTAAAAACTTATATTTATAATGATATAATATTAATAAGGAGATAAATTTTATTTATAGTGTTTTTACTATATCTGTAACATTTTATATGTAAATAATACATGATAATGAAAACAATGAGAACCAAACCTGAATAAATGATTGCGACTTACAACGAAAAAAAAATGAAAAACTATCGTGCCTTTGGCTTCAGCAAAATAATTGTGGCGCTTTACAAATTCAGCTTTACAGCTTAGTGCCACCATGAACTGCATTCAGTTTAATAAAAATATCTAAAAAAACATCTCAAAATAACTAAATGCACCAAGCAAGCCAAAATTTATCCTTACGAACGAAACCCAGAATATGGCCATTTTTAAATACCTCTACATCGCTGAAAATCACGCTGCGATTTGACCCTCTACCAGGGCCCACACTCAACAAAGTTGGGTCAAACTTTGCCCGATCAAATTGCACTCCATGCACAAAGTGCATGTAATCCAAGAACCTCTCAAACAACTATATATCTCAGAAAGCACACTCACCGATCGAAAAATCCAAAAAGATATTTGCTGCGACGATTTTGGCTTCAGTTTTGGCGCTGACTTGTGTCCCAGTTTTCACAAAGACTCGAAGATGGCCGCGTAAAAGTTCGAGGAAGTGACGTCACGGGGACTAAAAGGGGAGAAATTCATCAAGATGCCATCACATTCAAATATCTGGTTCGCCAATTGTGCTGGATGAGATATCTTTGTTCATGTTCTCAGCCAACGCAATATCATACATAATAACAAGCCCTGCACCGCAGAAGTAATTTGAATGAATCTGTAGCGTGTTTCAATTATAATTTTTAATTTTTAAATTTTAATCCACATTAAAATGTAGTTCTTGTGTACAATACAATAAAGATACTTCAGAAACTCAAATTTATATCAAAGATTTGACAGTGCAACTTTTCCAAGACTTTGACTCAATATATTTTTCATTACTTAGGTTACTTCTCTGTGATGGATTTACAAATAATTAATCTCTATTCAACTTGGCTAAAGAAATGAAAAACTGATTGATTAAATACTGTTTTTCAACATCAATTTATTTCACAATTCATTTTACAATTTTGCAGTAGTTGAACTTACTTGGAAAAGTCTTATTTTTGTCTGTAATGTAGATGAAAAACTTGGCTAAAGAAATGAAAAACAGATTGATTAAATGCTGTTTTTCAACATCAATTTATTTCACAATCCATTATACAATTTCGCAGTAGTTGAACTTACTTGAAAACAGTCTTATTTTTGTCTGTAATGTAGATGGGAAAATAATCATCATTAAGAGTTGGAAGTTTTTCTGAAGCTAATAAGTTATCATGTTTTACCCTCAGTGTATTTAGTGATTTAAGATATCACTAAATTTAGGTGCCCTTTGAAATGTTAAACAGCTCAACTTTTCAATTCCATGTTCTTAAATATGTACAATTTTTATTTACTTTTAATAAATGACTCTTCTGACAGTAACTCAGTTTTGCAAATTTTATCTCATCCTTTGCAGATATTTTAAACTAACAGTACAATGTGTTGGGTGATCAATATATAAGAATGAATTCTGTGAGAAATTACCAACGTCATTAATGCATTCTTTACATTATATTTGGCGTTACTGCTTACTATTAATTTAATTCCATACAGATAACTTGGTTGTCATAGACTTTCGATATATGCTCTTTGTGAGCACTTGGTCCATAACTGCTGTTCTCACATACTGTATAAGTACAAACACAAGTCATTTCATTTGTTCAGACAACCCTTTCTAGGCTATGTTGGTACAAGCTCTTGTCAAAAATAATGCAATACATAAATTATAAATGTGTGATTCATAATTGCGATTGTCAAACAAGGAAAATCGTCTATTTTACAGTTTTATATTTCTCTCCTGACAAATCACGCCCCTGATGAACATCTCTCTCTTTTCTATCATCTCAATATGTTTTCCACCAGGCTCTTCTGACCAACTTTGTACAATATAGTCTCTGCCATAAAGTCTATGGAGCCACTATTAATATTGCAGAACAGAAGTTACTGTAACAGCATTACATTGCTTGAGGAAATAAGTCTTGAAGAAAATAATGTTCCTCTCTTCCAGCTGCATTTCCAATATCAAACTTGGTCATGGTATGGTCTTTCAGTTACATCATGACCATACTCAATACAGTGACATGTCTTCTGGGGCTGATTAAGCTCATAAATTCCTGACAAAACTCTTCTTCACTTTTCTCACAAATCCATCACAAGTCTGCAGTTTCACAGACCCATAAGGAAGAGTGTCCTAATGCTTTGGCTGCTTTCCATTTTGTATATATCCATCATTTTGCACCATGATGCCTAATTATGATGGTTTGTCATAATCATCATCCTCTGCCTTCCTCTTCAAAGGATTTGATTGTGAAGGAGCTAATAATAATAATAATAATAATAATAATAATAATAATAATGATGAATGCGACATTCTCCAAACATCAATTGCTGCATAATAACTTGAAAAGCATGCAAAAAGCAGAAATCTCTGCCAACACGGCTCAATTTCCATTACTGATAAAATACATAAATAATTTTTAGTACCTCAAAAAATCTAAAAGCACTTTTTGACCTTATCTCAAGGTGGTCATTTAGAATTTCAAAATAATATATTTAGGCATTATTAAGGAAACATTGTTTAGGAAAATATGATTTATCAATTGTGTTCCAAATATGTGAGCAGTTACTGAACTCAGTTAAGAGTCTAGTGGTTCAGTCTAAAGCTACCTACTTGTTGTTAGCCTAATTGTTGGCATTGGCATAGCTGCAGCTGAGGATGAGGTGCCCTGTTTGGTAACCAAGGTAACTGTTGGCATGGAAACACCTTTAGAAACAACAGACAGGGATGTTCCTCCCATGCTTGCCAGGTTTAGAGGCTGATTCTTAGAAACTAAAAATAAATATATAATATACTCATTATATATATATATATTAAAGTCAAATTAGAATATGTTTAGCATTTAGCTATAATTAGTTGGGTTACATTTACATGGTGGAAAGGAAATGTAGATAATACACATTCAGAGGAAAAAATTTCTAAATTTTATTCACTGGTCTTCTGTATAAGAACATCTAAAGAAATAGTATTTACCGAGTTGGCTGATAATCATGTCCCACTAATGCATATCATCATCCTATGCAGCACTGCAATAAAATTTACCTCGGGATACACTAAATCTCTGGTGAATGAATAGTATCAGAGCACTTACCTCCTCCAGATGTTATGATTTTTGGTGAACTAAGTGTGTACGCTGAGGCAGGAAGTCCAACTGGTAATCTGGGCTGGACAAGAAAAAGAGACAAGTCAAAGCAGTAGCACAACTACAGCTGTTAAGTCATTTAAGTTGGTTGAGTAACAAAATGGTTGAGTTACATTAGGAATGCATCTCTGTTCATTAAAATCTGAAAACTTATTCTTCTTTTTATGAATAAAAATCGCCTAAACAAACTACCTAAGCAAATATCTGACAGTTAAAAGTACCCCTGACTGTGTCATTTTAAATGAAGTGAATTTCAACTTTTATCAAATATTGCTAAATAGATCCAGTTTGTAGATGCTTTGTTATGCATTATTTTCATTAGTCATTGTGCGCATGCATTTTTTTTTTTTTTTGGTGGTTGGATCTTATCCACATTTCCCAACTCAAATCTTTGTGTAACATAAAACAAATATCCATTCCCATGGTCAGAATTATGCACAGTCTGCTGTATACACATTATATGCAAACTACCTTCTTCAATGCTTTAAGTTTATAGTTTGTGGAGGACAGGCAATATCTGTCTGGAGGTAGCTTTGGTCCTGTGTATGGCTTTATCAGTGGCAGTGACTGGCTGTTTCTGTGTTTGGCGACCTCCATTAAGAGCTGCAAAAAATGAATTATTTTTTTCAAAAACTGTTAAGTAATGTAAAATATACTTAATCAACATTTTTGCATATAATGGTACATATTTTTCATATATGATTTTTAGATAGTGTAAAAGCAAATTAACAAAACTAGATTCCTAATGAATGAGTGTAACTCCAAGAACAAGGCAGCAAAGCTGTCAAATGTACAGACAAAAAACAGAAAAAAAAGATGCAAAAGAGGTCATTTTGTCAATTCTGATGCAACAATAAATAATGCTTATAATAGCAGTCAGTCAACACTGATTTTTCATTATGCACAACAGGTAACATGGTCAATAACAGGAGCAGATCCAGAAATATTTTTGACAGTATTCTAAAGTATCTTTATTGATCCATCTTCCATTTTGATGGTCTTCCAAAAGAAAAAAATAGATACCCATCAATATAAAAAATCTAACTGTCTTCCAGGAGACCCAGAAGATGGTCTCAATCCACCCCTTCAATAAGATTATAGTTTCATGACCATGAGAGTTAAAATTCACATGATGAAAGTCCCAATATAAGAAAAATGATGACAGTGCATAAAATAATATTACTAGTGTTTAAAGACATGAATACCAATACAACTGCTTACGTGGAAATACAGAAATTGTGCAGAGCCTCAGGTGGATGGGAAAGTCACATCTTAAAAATGCCAGTGTTGGAGAAGAAATTAAAAAGAAAACAACAAAAATATAATCTAATGAAGCTGCTATTCAGTGCTTCCTTATTATGGACACTGTTATCTAGCAGAGAGCTTAACCTTTGGGAGTTTACAGGGAAATATCAACAAGTGTGATTTATGAAATCTCATTTAATGGCCACTTAATCAGGCAAATGAGTTTATAGCACTAAACTTAGCCTAGT